AACTTACTCTTTAGGCAAGGGGAACATGCACCAACCAATGAACCAAATGTTTGGGTACATCCATAGCATGCTAATTGGTAAAAAGGAAATTACAGCTTGCCATGTCGGAATAATTGAAACCACAAGGGGTGTAGGTGGAGTTTACTCTTTAAGAAAAGATATGAAATAGGTCATAATGTTTCTCAAGTGGTGTTGTACCAGGATGGCTTGACCAAGCCTTGAGGACCACTATGGTGGACCTTGCTAAAATCTTAAGAGATGGATGTCTAATCTGAAAAGTGATGTAGCAAAAAAATTTGTCATTTTGCATGCATTTTCAGCTTTATATGTTGGTTTAGCTGGGTAAATACATTTGCCACAAGGATTACAGGTTTATTACAGGTTGGCTTTTTAGCATTCTGAGTTTCACATTCTAGTACAGATTGGCCAATCTGCAGAAACAGAGTTGTCCTTTCTTGTGTTTTTTCTTTATTTTGGCAACATATTTTTGGGGTCAGGTCAGGAAGTTTTTTTATTTTAACAGTCAAATAGGATTATAACTTTTGGTTTTTGGATGCTTGTTTTATATCTGTGTGTGTATAACCTTAATGTGATAACTATTGCTGTCAATAAAACCCCACAAAGCTCAATCTCATGGCAGGAATAAGAAGATATATGGTTTCTAGTCATTAATCTAATCGTATGATCTACTGATTAATGAATGAAAAGAAACCAATATACCATGGTTTTCATAAAACATACAAGACTGATGCATCTTTTACTTGCTTTAAATATTCTTTATATAACTTGCTTCCAGAAGGTCCCAGTAGCAGAAAAGCATTGGTACAAAGATATCTTGAGAGGAAGAAAGACAGGTAACTTTCATGGCAAATGTGTCATACATTAGAACCAAATAGGCCTACAATCTGGTTTGCTTTGCTTCTTTGTTTCTCATACCCCTGTTAGGTGAAGGTTTAAGAACAAGAGAAAGTTGGCAACGTCTTCATCTCCTACATTAGACATCTACATAAATCAAGTGGGAGATCAGTTTGTGAATAAGCAGTTGAAGCCAAGTGAACCATATTCTTCTTCCCAAACACGACCACCTTACACACCCTTTCGGTGCAACTCCATTGTGAATGTCCCAAAGATTGCCAGTCTTGCTGCTCATCCTGATGCCAAAGGTGACAGTGACTCGTCTTGTGCACACTTTGTCTTGTCTTTATATGATAATGTGGTTTGAACCTAGGAATCCCGGACAAATTTAAGAAGCAAATGTTCCATGCTGTACGCCCATAACTGAATTTGAAAATTCCACCCCAGCCCAAATTTCATCATCATTCTGCAATTTTCATATGATATTACTTAGCAGAGATGTTAAGTGTTTACCTAGCATGATGTATATCTTGTTTAGATTCCAACAGCTGGAAGGGAAGCCCGGTTGTGGCTTCTCTTATCTGGACAATATTCCTGTGGCTTTATCATATGAAGTCTCAAACTAGTTACGCTAGTTTAGTCATAAAGTTCCCTGTCAGTTTCAACATATTTCAACTGCCTGTACTGATGATCAGCAAAAATGCATCATATTTATATGGTCAACTGGTGTCACTAGGTCAGCTAGTTATCTCCTTGCATTTCATCTTGTCTAGTTTTTCACTTTTTCTTATTATTATATGACATTATTATCCTAACATGGAAATAAAAATAAATGGGATGTGATTGCCTTATTGCAGATGTATATAAAATATGAGCTTGGATCAGCCATGACATGGTGGTTAAGGACGAAGCATGGAGTCCATATCAAGTATTCAGGTTAACCATGTTGACACGGATGGAATATGCTCAGTGTAGCCTTCATTGCAAGAGTTTGTAGCATAATATTAACCAGTTGTATTAGTTGCGGCCGTTCTTACTTAGATGAGGAACCTATTTCAGTGTTGCTGATCTTTTGTATGATTTCATTTAGTGATGTGCAGTAAAGCTAAATGATCATGTAGGCACCTAAAAGGAGAAGATTTTCTTCTGCTGTCCCATGGTCATTTTGAGCATCAAAGGCTTTTTCTAGCTGTAGCATCCTTGATATGAAACTGAAAACAAAAATGCTATTTGAACTTGTCGATTACATGATCGAGCAAAGTTTGATTACATGATCGAGCAAAGTTTAGGGTTCATCTCCAGCCAAGGCAACAATGATCCATCAACCTTAAGATAGAGCTGCTAATGGCCAAAGAGCTGGAAGGAATGGTTAGCACGATTGTCCATGCTCGATTCGATTCAAAAACAGTGATCCAAATGGAAGATGGGCTATGACTGAATTAATTCAAAGTTGAAACGTGAGTATTACTAGGTAGTAACTTGTAAAGTTTAATTGATTAGGTATGGTAAAGTATAATACAATTTATTATAAGAAATCGACGTAGAAAAATCGACTTGGACTGGTTGAGTTTATCATATTTAATATACATCTAAATGATAAAATTATATTTGTTTAAAAAGTTGGAGAACGAATGACATTGTCGATTCAATCTTACAGTCCCATCATTTAATATTTGTAAGAAAAAACTTGACCTTAAAATCGATTGAAATAATTTAAAAATGTTATTTATTCTAATTGAATAATTTGAAATCTAAAATGAGTCGACATATCAAAAGAACCAAATTTGAAATGACCCTACTCAAATATCACCCCACCAACCATTCTGACGTTTTACTATGATTTCTATGACAATATTACAAATGCTTGCTGGTAAATAATGGGTTCTGTTATTATTATTATTGTTTTTTTCTTATGATTTAGGGTGTTGTTAACATTTGATTGGAAAGGGGAAGGAAAACCCCAAAACCACCAGCCACCACACGGTCGAGCGATGAATAATTTCGCAGTGATGTCCCACCACCAGGCACCAGGCACCGGCACCGGCACGAGCCAGAGCCTACCTCAAAGCTTTACCATCACTGAATCCTGACTTTTATTATTATAAAATCTTATTCTTTTTGTCTTGTTGTGATTTAACCATGCTTTACTGCTCATAATAAAGTGGGTCCGCTATTGCTTCATGATGAACATGATTTACCTTTCAAACTAGTTGCATTTCATAAAGCTACCAAAGTCAGGCTTGCTTTTCTCTCTTCAAATTAGTTACGGGTCTAAGGAACCCAAGACGGGGTGCGCGTGCCAAGCCAAGGGAAAGAAGAAAGGGTTATTGTTGTCCCGTTGGAGCATAGGCTATCGGTAATGTGATCGCGGCCCAGCAGGTCAACTTCATGTTGTGGCTTGTCTTGTCATTGGATTTGGATATGATATGAGCAATGAGGCTATGTCTTTGTAGTCTATGGAATGTCCAGACGCACCAAAACAAATATCGGATCTATTTTATACCAAAACCCTGACAATTATCAAGGTTTTTTTGATAATTGATATATCATAAAATTTTTAAAATTAATATTTAATATACTAACAATGCATAGATTGTTAAATCATGATATCTTATTAATAAAAATTTTAAATCATAGTGTCTCATTATTTTGAATGAGGCATCACGATTTGATAAGTTAATTATGTTATACAATATCGATATATTAAATATTTTTTCAAACTTTTAAGGTTAAGCTCGGCAAAAAGAGGAGGGAAGCAAATAAAGAGATTCTTTCTTTTCTTTCCTTTGGTTAAAGGAAAATATTTAGTGATAGAATAATAAATGAATTTTTAATTTCTTTTTTCAAAATTTAATCATTTTCAATTAAAAAGAATATACTTTTTTACTTAAGTTAATCATTTAATTACAAAATTTACACATATTCCATTTTTCATCTTTCACACCAAAAATAAAAAAAAAATTCTTCCTAAATCATATAATCAATTAGAGATATTAATGAGTATCTTTATTATAATCAAGTACTTATATTACTTTACTCGATTAAATAAGATTAAAGTGTCTTATAATTGAATAAGAAAAATAACTACTCATCACCAGTTCAAATAAAGATTCAATAAAAAAATTCAAACTTTTATTTTTAAAATGACCACATCCGACCTATTTAATGATAACGACATACTCTCAATAAAATCAAGTTAATTAATATTAGGTCCTATCTTACATTATAAAGTGTTCTTTCATGGATGATTTTATTACTAATTAACAATAAATTTATCTGTTTTACTAGTACTTTTTTGTTAATATTATTCTTTGCTTTTAACATAATTTAATTGAAAACTTTCATATCGATTAAGACAATAATCCAAATTAACAAAATAATTTTTACAAAAAGCCATGACGAAGCGCGGGCATAAAGAAAGATGGAGGGACGAATGCGAAGTAGTTACAAGTTTTGACTCAAATTATGGTGCAAATTCAATTAGCATGGGCCGGAGGTGAGAGGGATTGTCACTTGATAGAGATAGCGTGTGGTTAATGGGATTATCACTGGATGTAGGCTGGCTGGGGCTTGGTAGTCATCCCGCGCCTGACCAAAATGAGTTGATTCCAGGCCAGGCCAGGCCAGGCTCCCCGCGGCATTTGTCAAATACAATTGGGTCATTTCACATGGTATTTTCCCCGAGATTTTAAAGGCGAAAACACGCCACTTGCTGCTGTTGTGTATTTTTGTAAACGAGGACGACGTGCAGTTCCTAGTTTTTCATAATATTCTATTTTCTAGGCTCAAATGAGGGAAAGTCTTGGATGTAATCCACTCACACGTCTTCTTCACACTTTCTTCTAGCACCATGTTGAGCACGTGGATCCAGTGGGGCCTCAAATCATGACTCTAATAAACAAAATCTAATCCCCCCCTTTGTCCGTTTCTCAATATTATCTTTTTTATTTTAAAATTCTCCCCAGTAAAAACACATAAAAAATAAAACTAAATATATTCATCTTTTTTGAACAAATAATGTTATTTTGTTCCAAAATTAGATAAACTAGGGTAGAATCTTTTAAAAAAATCTCTAAATTATTTAAAAATTTTTCAAGCAAGTTTTTATTATTTTATTTTTATTTTGAGTCAAGTTATTAATTTTTAATCATTCGTGAGATACAAACTCCCAACAAGTCATAAAACAACAAATTCATGATTTCTCTAGAAGAAGAGTCATAAGAAACAAAATCAACATCTACATGAAACTAATATTAGCCATACGATCCGCTACTACATTTCCTTCTCTATAGATATGAAAAATTTGTATTGACCATTCACCTTGCATTATTCGACGTATAGCTTCAATTAAGTTAGAATTAGCGCAAGATGGGGTGAGGATTAGAAATTCCTGAGAAACATTTTATATCAACTTGTAACCAAAACCTTACGGAAACCTTTTGTCGCCAACTAAACCCCTACATATACTCCCCAAAGCTCAACTCTGTAGGATGAGCAACTACTTAACTTGGTGACAAATCCACCTCTCCAATGTCCACAATGGTCTTTAATGATGCCACCAGCAGAAGCCAACCCCATATTGCCTATAAGCCCCATTTGTATTCAAGGTCACCCATTAAGTATTTAGGCTTTGCTTTTTTATCAATTTCTCCTTCTTAAATGGCTTTTGTGAAGTAGTCAGCTTAGTCGAGTTATAGATCATGCTCGACATACTTTTGATGAGATTTAGCTTACTGCCAATTGGAATTTGCCTACGTTTAAAAACAACTAAATTACGCCACTTCCAAATGTACCAGCAAACAACACCAAACTAAGTCTACCATGGCACCTCATAAACTCTGAGTCAGAACTTTTTCAAATTAAAGAGCAACCATTCTATTAAAGGGTACTCGAAGGACCTCCCCAAATCCTATTGAGGTAACATTCTCCTCCAATCTTCCTATGTTTGTGAGCAGTCAAGAAACATATGTAAGAGTGATTCCTCCCCTCCATTACATAAAGGATAGGATGATGAGAAAGACATGTGCCTCATCGCATGTTCAGCATTTGTTAGCACTTTTCTCATGCATGCACTAAACTAAGAACATACGAATTCTTTGTGGACGAGATCACTTCCAAGCTTTATCCCATTTACAACTTGGTTGACCATAATAACTTCACTTCTTATGTCACAGACTCGCAACATATTATATGTTGAAGTCACTGTAAACTTACTTGAAATTGAAGGGGCCCAATAATGCAGATCTGACTTGAAATGCAACATGGAAGGCATAACAATTGTGATTTTGTTCACCAACTCTTCTAGTAAAACTGTCGCAAGCTTTGCCACATTCTAACTCCCATCTGCTGACAAAAATTCCCTTACACAACACTTGTCATCCATAATATTGTGAGAGAGAGGCATTAAATCCATAAGAGTAGAAATTTCAAACCAAATATCCTTCCAAAACCAAACTAATAAACCATCACCTAGAGCCCATCAAATATTGTTCATGAAGAGAGGCCATACTTTACTAAACGAATGCTGCAAGGAAGAAGCACCATGTTGCAATATTGAGTTAGGTCTCCTATCCATATTGAAACCATATTTTCCTTGGAGAATTCTAGCCCATAATGCACAAGGTTGAGCAACCGTTTGCCATAGTAATTTCATCATGAAAGCCTCATTCATCAAATGAAGTTTTTTCACTCACAAACCCCTTTAATCTTTTGGTCTACAAACTACAATCCATTTTACTAAATGCAGTTTTCTATTATTATTATCTCCGCCCAAAGAAAATTTCCACAAGGTCACTTTTTTCTATTACTATGCTCAATTGGAATTGTAGTCGTCTGTATCACATAATAAGGAATGTTGGATAACACTAACTTCACCAAAGTAAGTCTCGTTAGCAAAAGATTGTGAAGCTGCTTTCCAACATTAAGTTAGCTGCAAACTTTATCTCCAAGTTCTTAAAGGTAGCCAACTCATTTCCTTCCTGTAAACAATGGGACTCTAAGGTATTTGACCATATTGTCAAAATACTGGAAACCAGAGCGAGCTTTGAGGTCCTTAATAACATTCAAGGAGACATTATTGAACAACAAAAGATAGATTTAAACATGCTAACCTGTTCGCCTAAGTAGGCACATTAATCGTCTAAAACTCCTTTGAAATCTCCATTTGTGAGACAGAAGCCTTCGAAATTAAATAAGATTATCAACAAAAAATAAGTGGGACAAAGAAGGGCATTGTCAACCCAGTTTGATTAGTTTCCATAAACCTTGTTCTACAGCCCTATTGATTGCATGTGACAATCATTCGATACATAGTACAAAGAGAATGGGGAGAGCGGGTCACCTCGCTTTACTCTTTAAAAAGAAAAAAACTAATGGTGGAGAGTTGTTCTAAAGGATTTGAGATTTGGTGCTTGCCTAATTTTGAACTAGAATATTAATAAGCATAGTTGGAATCCCTACATTTATAAGGGTGTCATAAGTAAACTCCCATTGAAGCTTATCATATGCCTTTTCTAAATTAATTTTCAACATTATCTAACCCAACTTGCCTTTCTTTCTTTAGAATGAGGGTAATGTTTCTTGGCTACAATAATATTATCAATAATTAACTCTCCTAATA